CATATTATGTATGTTAAATTAGTTTTTATTCTATAATTTTGAAAGATATTTTAATTCTTTATCATTTCATGTCTCAACTATAGCAAAACGTTGAGTAATAACGAAGATATTGGTCAAAATAAAAAGCTCACGCTCGCATTGAACTGTATATCAGGCTTTAGGGATTATAACGGGTTGGCTTTCCATTACATCGGTTTTTGGTTGTTTTCACAAAACTATCACGAATTTTGTCATGAAACTTATCGGGGATGTTAAGAATCCTATATATATATACATTACTTATCACTCTTTTCACTTTATTAGTATTAGTCCTCCGATTTGTGGCCTGCGCCTTGATGTTGTCACACAAAGCGGAGGGACCTAAAGTTTTACGCCGACTCCAAACGGCGATTGTATTTTTATGAGTAGCTGTTTTTCATGGCAGAAATACACTCGGAGGTTTGACATTGCTTGCCGAGGGACGACCGCTGTTAAGAAAAAACCTTTTTTCCATATTTTTTTTTGCGATGTTGCTTTGACCAGGGTTTGAACCCAGGTGCTGCGAAGTGTAAGCGCGCACTGCTTACCACTACACCACAGCGGCCGAATTTGTTGTTAAATTCTTCGCAGTTTCAATAGCAAATTTTCATATAAAAAGAGCACCTAACACTTATATCTTGATAAATATACCATCTTTGTAAGGCTCATGTGCATTTTGCACACATTAAATGTATTATATTTGATTTTTTAACAATATAAAATGCGTTTAATAATTTCACTACTTTTCTTCAACGGTATAAAAGCTCAGTTATGCAAGACTTACACTTGACTTGAAAATTGTATATCTGGCAAATGAGCAGCGCGTGTACATATATACATAGTTACCCAATAAACCAACTTCACTTAGAAACCTGGAGAACAATAGAATTTTGATTTCCAAGTTAAATTTCTAAGTTCAAAGAGAGCCGTGAGAGAATCATGCTGCCATTTAATTTTTTCATAAAATCCCTACAAATATGCCACACAAATATAATTTTTTGTGTAAATGTAATTCATCTGGCAATCGAAAAATAAACTTTCAACTAATGACAGAAAATTAAACAAAAACAATCACAATTTCAAAGGCGTAAATACATTTATTTTAGTAGGAATTTTTAAACAATTTTGGTGAAAAAATAAGCTAAACGATTACAGTTTACGTGTGCTGGGAATCAAAATGAAGAGAAAAGGCAATAGTTGGCACGCTGAGTAATCGCGTCTAAGTTTCTAGGTAAAGCAAGTCAAGTCTAAAGCTGATGCCACATAAAACTTTTGCTTCGCTTTGCTTGACAGATTCGCTTTGACAGATAAGATGAATTGTATGAAAATGCACAAAGCATGCCACATAAATCGTTGAAGCTGCAGCGCGAAGCGAAAAGATGGCCAACTCCCATCTTTTTGCGCGCTTTGACAATCAGCCGGTTTAATATTTATTTTGTTTCGTCCAAATTCGAGTTTTCATGCAGAAACATAAAACTTAGTTACATTGCTGATAATTTTGAAGCAAAATATATAAAATCCACAGCAACTTTGACGAGTAAAATAGCGGTACAAAATTGTTTTCTTGGCGTTCATTGCGGCATACCTTTTGCGTCCGGCGCTTTGCTGGCAAAGTTATAAATGTCACGCAAAGCTACAAAGTTTTATCTGCCATCAGCCTAAAACTATGTTCACATATCAATATTATCTCAATCAAAGCTCGTTTTTTAATCACCCCGTTTACACAGGCAAATCTCAGATTATTAGCCGTCAAATTTGTTGTGCTTGTTATTCTCACATCTCAAGGAAAAGTTATGTTGCTTCTCTGTGCCACCGTGATCACGTTTTTCTGCTATAATAAGCAATATAAATATATTTTAACTTAAAATTTTATTAAAAATACCTTTGCAAACCTATTTTACTTGCTAGCGTACATTTTTGTTTACTTTTACATTTGGTATTTCTCCTCTTTTTCGCAAAAACAATCGATAAAACTAGGATGGGCACCGAAAAGTTATCGGTTAAATCTGAGATTATTTTATAATTACAGATTAACAAGGGACGAATTTTATATGGCTAATCTCTTGTTATAATTACAGATTAGGATGTTAAGCTCGAAAATGAGGATAATCTACTTATATGTGAACCTAGTATAAGTCTTGCATAACTTAGCTTTAAGCAAGCAAACAAGCAAAGGGTTGACTTTCCATTACATCGGTTTTTTGGTGTTTTCACAAAACTATGCCCAATTTTGTTATGAAATTTGGCGGGGTGTTAATAATCGTATATATTTACATTATTTATCACGCTTTTCACTTTATTAGCAATAGTATTTAACTAATTTGTTGTTAAATTCTTGCAGTTTCACTGGCAAATTTTCCTATAAAAAGAGCACTTAACACTTATATTTTGATAAATATACGATCTTTGCAATATTCATGTGTATTTTGTATACATTAGATGTATTGTATTATATTTTTCAAAAATATAAAACGCGTTTAATAATTTCACTACTTTTCAGTGATGCCAGTTGAGCCCTTTTGAGGCTAGATCTAGCTTTTTTCTTTGTCGTTTAGCTTCGAAATTTAGGATTTAGCTTCGTGGCTTTTTTCTAGCCTTTTCTTATTTTCAAACTAGCGTTTTTTTAAGGAGAATCCTCCACAATATTTGTAGTAGCACTAAGTTATCTTTCCGGTTCAGTTTTACTTGACGAAATGTTTAGCGAATATCGCCCAGCAGCATCGCTCCCGTCCGACGAAATTTACCCAGCGAACTCGTTCTGTTTATACTTTTAACAGTTTTTTTCAGGGGCTCTCAAGTGTCCCTATAAAAACAGGAAAAGCATGTTTTTTCTTAGAACTCTGCACCCCACAGTTGGTCAAATAGATATCAACTTCGCTGTTTAGTCCGCTTCATTTGCGTGTATGTACGGTTTGCTCTTCACTATGCGCGCTCTAATTGAAACATTCACTATAGTAATACATAACGATATTTGGTGGTACAAATGTACCAATACTTGGTCTTTAAGGACTATAGGTTTACATACCCTAAAAAATAGTCCCCTTTATTATTAAAATAGTTTTATTAAACAACTTTCATGAGATTTCATGATCGTAAGTACTTTGGTTGTCGAGATATTTAAATTTTTATTGCTCGGTGGTGCATTCGTACCACCTGTTTGTACATAAGAGTTAATGAAATATTGAAAAGGCTGGCCTTTTTTTAACCTTTTATTTTGGGCCCTTTGGGTTTTTTAGCTTTTTTATTTGGCCGATCTAGCTTTTTTTTTTTGAATTCCTGGCAACACTGCTTTTCTTCAACAAAGTAAACAAGCAAACTAGGAATGTTCGATATTTAAGAAAGTATCGATATTGTTGATACAAAGATATTTTTCTTTGTCAGCACGAAACTTAGGAAGTGGGGGTGTGCAAATGTTGGCCAGCGAATAAATTGTTACAGCAATGAGCAAAGATATGCTTGTCCGTATGTCTGCGTTCAAACACGGAAACTCGAGTTTTTTATTATCGGCGATTTCTCTTTTGGTGTTGCCCTTTGCATTCACATACAGAAACTCTTTTGTACGCAATTGTTGGTGTCAGCTGTGAATCGCCAACTTGAATTACTCAGAGGAACGAGAGCACAAAGCGTGTTTCCCGAGTACGGGCGACACGGTACCCGCCCCCTTTCCTCGTCGCTCTCTCCCCTACAAGCTTCGAGTTTCCGCAACAAAAGTTTCCGTGTCTGAACGTCGACTATGTGATGCGGAAAACTAGCGGCACTATTTGTTAGCAACTGTCAGCAAAATCCAACGTACCAAAGCGAAGAAAATGGGCAAGTTCAGAAGGCGCAACAGCTCAGTAACTGTTACGATTGCACCTTGTGAACGCGTTGTTTTGTACTTCTGATCAACTGAACAGTTGCTCTTTTTCTGATCATTTGAGACAACATGTTGTGTGTTTTGAATTTGACAGATAATGTATCAAGCCGTTCAGAAGACGCATTACTATCACCGATTTTATTAGCAACTGTTGCGCTCAACTGCTGCGCCTTCTGAACCTACCCAATAAAAAGCGACCCGTTCCAAATGAGAAATCGATATGCTGTATTTTATTAGAATTCAATTTATGTATGCATAACTAAAACATTAAGTGAGAGTGAGAACGAGTGCAATAAGACGTTAATTCTTAACGTTAGGTGGGTGTGCATGTGTATACATATGTGTGTTTACAATGAGTGTGTTTTAGTTTATAAGTACATTACGGGTGGTTATTAACTCATGAAATGAGTGTTTTTAATATTTGATATTAATGCTATTAGGGTGATCCAATATCCCGGCCCCGTTGAAAGAACCGTCTTTTAAGATACAGGTAGGATAGCTAATTTGAGTATCGGGCGGCAACAAGGTCCATTAGCAGTGCGAAAGTGCACAACGCCAACTTTACCATCTCTCCCAAGCACGATGGATTCGATGCGACCAAGTTTCCTGCGCTGTGGTGGTAGGTTGTCGTCATGAATTATTATGATGAAATAATACAGGTGTTATCAGTTGGCAACTTCTCGCTCTAATTCCGCCATATTGACTGCTTTACGTGTTACTTCTTTAACTATTCTTTGCCCATTAATATAGTTGAATGCTTTTTATTTTTTCTCAGTATACAAACTTTGTTTTCTTAAAAAGGTATTTTATCTTATTTTATTTCATTTCATAACGAATATACTATAAAAAAGCAAATTTTGTTAAGGAGAAAATGTGTAAGTTCGTTAAAGTAGTCTGCAGACCAGCGACGCCAAAAGCGTTGTTTAATTGAGGTGATCNTTGGCCGATCTAGCTTTTTTTTTTTGAATTCCTGGCAACACTGCTTTTCTTCAACAAAGTAAACAAGCAAACTAGGAATGTTCGATATTTAAGAAAGTATCGATATTGTTGATACAAAGATATTTTTCTTTGTCAGCACGAAACTTAGGAAGTGGGGGTGTGCAAATGTTGGCCAGCGAATAAATTGTTACAGCAATGAGNCCAAACTAGAGATATTTTTATGTTCCAGGGAACGCTCAGGTAGGATTCGTAGTGAATCGCCAACCAAAAAATGTCCAGCAGTCAGAGCTCCGAAATCATTTGGGTCTGACGACAGTGGCGAAAGTGGAAAGTGGATTGCTTCTATTTCAGCAGCGACGGTGCTCAGCTCTTCAAATGTTAGTTTAGTGTTTGCCAGTGTGCGGTTAAGAAGACCCTTTGCGCTCTTTACAGCGGCTTCCCAGAGGCCGCCGAAGTGAGGTGCCCTGGGAGGAATAATATGAAAATTGATAAAGTCTGATGAACAAAATTTGAAAATTTCATTTTGTGTCTCGGGATTAAACAGAAATTGCTTAAGCTCTTTAAGGTGATTGGCTGCTCCAACAAAATTCGTAGCATTGCCGCAAAATATATCGCAAGGCATTTTCCGACGACTACCCATGCGATTAAGTGAATTTAAAAATGCCTTCGTGGACAAATCTCAGACTACCTTAATATAAACTACCTTTGGTCAGATACGACTTGTTCGGTGGCTTTTCACGAATCCTCAAGTATGTGTTGATGGGTCCACAAAAGTAGACCCCGCAGCGTTCAAATGGACGGGCAGGTGCGAGGCGAGCAGCCGGTAGCGGTCCCATGACCTGCTGCAACAGCTTTGCTGTGGCGTTAACTATCCAGAATTCGAGGTGAATTAAAGCTAGGCTGACTTCCAAAACGTCAATTGCATTGCATACGTACAAAGTTTAATGTTCCATAACGCCCAACTACAATTGGTTGACAATGTATACATTTCCAAAACGCATCCGAAATGTTACAGAAACGCATCGCTAGAGTAATTAGCGCATCAGAAACAAAGTTGATGCTTCGTTTGGTTTTGGTTACAATTTGTGTTTTAAAAATGGAAAATTCCGAAATGATAATCATTGTTTTATTAAATAATCAAAATATACAATGTATATGTTGCAATGTTTCGTAACTTTGCATCTACGAACAGTTTAAATACCGCAGTAGAACAGTATCCAAACATTGCATGATTACGTTTTGGAAGTCAGCCCTACTAATGCCTTAGGACCTGAATGGTAATCAGACTGGATGCTTTTGAGAGTCCGGCAGATCTGCATACTCCAAGCGACCACCAACCTTAATAAGTTCGAAACCACTTGAGTTGTCTAAAAATGGTGTAAGAAATTTTAAGTTGCTCTTTAGGGGCAGATTTTTTCTTAGCAAATGGAAGTCGTCGACGAAATGTTGCTGAATATTCCAAACAATAGAGTGTAACGCACGTCACAGTTCCTGAGGTGTTGGCAAAGAAGTCGTTGATCTGGAAATTTTTCAGCATGTGTCACTGAACCTGAACATGCAAGCAATGAGTCGTAGACAGCACATATATGAGCGGATTTTTTCAATAGTATTCAAGATGTAGTTTGTTCCTGCAACAACAGCAAACAAACTTTTTCTCTTTTCTGCGTTTATTATGTGAATATCGACGTCAAGTTTGCTCTTTTTGGCGGGCCACGACTACATGTCTTCACGTAGAAACCATGGGCCTGAAAACCAGTTCAATGCTTTCAAGTCAGTGGAAGTACAACCAACGTTGACAATGTGACCGGGTGCTGTTGCAACCAATGAAGCACTAGTTGCGAATCGGTCCAAAAGTATGCTAAAAAGGGTGTGTCTGAGAAAATGGTTTTTACCTTATTGTACAACTGTGCAAGAAGATGCGCTCCGCAAAGCTCGAGTTTCGGAAGCGATTGTTTTTTGACTTCGATGTCAGCAAGTGAACAGCAATATTTCCATCGGTGCCTTCAGTGCGCAAGTACAATGAACAACCATATGCTCGAATCGATGCGTCGCAGAAGCCGTGAATTTGGAGATCGCATGCGTTTGGCTGTTGACAATAAGGAGGCACTGCGAGCGTTGATAGCGAACCAACAGACGAGATCATTTGCTCCAAGCGTGTTGCAGGCTTTGTGGCACGGACTCGTCTCAATCGAGCTTTAAAAGCCACAGCTTTTGGAATATGATTTTGGATGTGATCAGAAGAGGTGCAAGCAATCCGAGCGGGTCGAAGAGTGATGGGGCGATCGAAAGGATTGTGCGTTTTGTGACCGCAGCATGAATTTCCTTTGGTGAACATGTAAACAGGAACACATCTTCCAGTTGATCCCATGTGATACCAAGTGCCGCTGGTTATTAAATCTTCTGTGAAGTTGTATGTATGTACATATATGCAATAACTAAATACAAAACGTTTGGCTGCAATAAATAAAAAAAAATGATTTTTAATTGAATTGGATATGAAAATTTACAATAGACCGGTTAAAAAAAATTTTCTTCTTTTCATGATTTAGTAGAGAAATGAGTTGCTCTACATGTCCAAAGACATTCTTCCAAAGGCTACCCCCAATATTTTTAATAATTATTAATTAGCGAATCGTATTTGAATGTCAAAATTTTTAGATTATCGTCTTAGAACTCAAAATGTGTATAATTGGAAGCTATTTCGGGTTATTTCGAAAAAATCACCAGGTTTATAGGAGTAGTTTTTACCCAGGAATTCAAATATGTTGATAGCTTTATCTTACCAAGCAATCGGGATTAATAATAAATAGAATCTGGAACTCAAAATTGACAAAATTATTAATTTAAATTTTCAAATTATACAGCTATCCCCAAAAATTGTCCGATATTCTCAATACTATGTACCATCCTATCCTATTTTTACCGCCCTTTTCAATTCCATCAACGGAATTTCGTTATATTTTTTTAAGTTCCAGTTATTGGACAATTTCAAAATTGAAATTCATGATTTTGTCAATTTTGAGTTGCAGATTCTATTTATTACACTATGCGACAGTCAAAATCGGGATGGGATGAAACCAACGGGAAATGTTATATCGGTCAAAAAAAAGTTATACGTGGCCCGGCGTTTCGCTGGGTCACGTCTAGGAATCGA